CCAAAAGTTTCTTCCAGAATATCCATGGATAATAAAGTAGGAAAATCTGACATCAGGAAAAACACGGTACAGATGGCTTAAAAGCAAGCTGGATATCTTTTTGGAACAGAAAGGGAAGGGGATAACCTTTTTGAGGACTGAATAAACACAAGTTAGGTTAGGTTTTTTAGCAGAGTCTCCGATTTTGGGTTGAAGGTTCGTAAAATTTTGCGAAAATTAGAGGGGATTTCGTTTTTTGCATTAACGGAAAGTCACCTCGTGCCAGCTCTGCTTGCCAGTGGTGGACACTGCTACAAAAATGGCTTTGATTTTTGAAATTCAAAAAAAATTTAGGGATGATTTGCCATTTTCAAATCAATGAGGGCAGGGTTTCACTCCAGACATTGCCAAGCTCTAGTCCTCGCTTCAAACTTCCTAGAATCCACAGAAAAGTCCAAATCAAATAAACAAAAGAGTGCAGAGTCTTCTTTGCTCATAAACAACAGGCCGGAGCAAGTGGCCATGAGCGAAGCGCGCGATCGGCGTTTGGAGAAATGACCCGAGGAGAAATGCATCCGCAAGAGCAGAGCACGGAATCAGATGGAAAATTGGCTTTAGGGCGCGGATGTTTTTCTAGTGTGGCCTCGAGCATCAGTGGAGCTTGCCGCTTGGACAATGGAAGCGAAGCTGTGTGTCGGCTCCACACACAGCATCGCTCTCCACAATCGCTATCGCCACCACCAGCACTCTCAACACAATCGATGTGGACGCTTCGCTTCAAAGTCTTCATGGCCCCGAAATGATGCCAATGACTCGAGCCCGTCGTCACAATCAGCCAAGAGCTGAGCCTCTGATGATGGGTGGCACCGAAGTTCGAAGCGATGCGCACGAACGGAAAGAACGGCTGGCGATCGCGAACACGACCAGTCCCATGTCGTCATGGAGCATACCGACGCATCTTGCGCAAGAAAATATGATTCATGTTATTATACCATGGAGGTGACGTAAATGGAAGTATTGAGAGAGTAGGAAGAAGAGTGGAGCAAAAATGACGTTTTTAAATGACTTCGGAAAAATCCTGAGCTAACAAAGTAGGCAAGGTAGAGGCTGAATGTTCCTGCACGGAAAATACTCAATATCCTAACAAAATCTCAACCTAACGAAAAAATTCTTCCCTCGATCCAGCAAGTTAGCAAGGGTGAGAGCAAGAAAACCCTGTGATATTCACTTTTTAACTATCCATCTTTCCAAAAGCATGGAAAAAGATAATTCATTATGAAAAATCCCACGGTAAATTATCGAGTACAAGGAGTAAAACGGAACTACCTGGCGCATTCTATGGCGGAAAAATTTCGGAGAGGCATGGCCTACACCATAATTAATAATTATAAGAATTTTCGTGGGAGCGGCCCACATTATAGTAAGCGACTTACACTCGCCAAAAAAAAAGAGACGTCAAAGGCGTTTGAGAAGTTTTCTTTTTTCGGAGAGCGCGAGGAGGGCAACAAAAATTATGGAATAAACGCGTATTCTTCCACAAAAACTTTGGGATGTTTCCAAATTTTCGGAGCTATAGCTCAATTTTGTGAAGGAGGGGCATCGCGCCAGCCGCTTGTGGCTCTTCCTACAAGCTAATAGAAGTTTCCAACTATAAACAGTGATCTTACCAATGCAGATGGAAAAGACTCATAGTTGCAGTAGCTACAAGTTTTATCGCAAACGATTATCGCTCCATAACAGGAGCGAAGTTTTTCATGGCAATTCCATTGCCCTTGAATAGTCAATGTACCAATGACATGATGAGTTGCTCATTCAGTCGTCACCAATTGCCGATACCATAAAGAATTACATTTCCAAAAGTTACAGAGTTTTTTTTACAAAGTAGTAGTTATCCAGGGAATAGTAAAGCTAAATAATGATCAAAAATACATATATCAGCAAATAAGAGAAGAATAAGTGAGCTAAAGGTTCTACACCTATGGTCGATTTTGGAGCGGCAGGAACTGTGGCCACTTGATGTTTAACGGATCTCAGAAACATACCTTACAGCTTGAAAAGCTAATTTATATACGTTAGGTAGCTTTAGGGGAAGAGAGAGAATGATATCAGATACCTCTAGGATCCACGGGTATTACTTCGGTTGAGTAATCTATTAGGTGGATTCAAAACTTCGTCCGCCAATTAAAAAAACATAACCTTCTTCTTGATGGATTTTCTTGAGATTGTTTTTGCTTGAAAAAGAAATCATGTTCTTTACAGTATCTCTACAAAAGGTAGTGCTGTAAGGAGCATAGTTTCCTTTTCAAACTAAAAAAATTTTTTTAGGAAGATCTACTGGGAAGAAAGGAAGTTATGATTTAAAAAAACTGGCGAACGAAATATTGGACCCACCTAATACCTTTTCAAATTGTCCTCAAGCTCTTCCTAGCTTTTTGCCATCAGAACTACAACATCTTCATACATTATAGTATATGAAGGGTTAACACGTGGAATCTCTACTGCATCCATGAATGTGATAAAAAGGTGGAACGATTGTACGTGTCCTTGATGCACAACAGCTGATATTTGGTCCTTCTGACTTTACTGTTGATTGCATGTCGGAGCCGGTCGGATTTTTGTAGATCATCTTCGAGCACTTATTCTTTTGGCACTTTGCTTTTGCCTGACTACCATATGATATCATGCAGCACCTTATTTGACGCATTTCTACAGAAAAAATCGCGTTTAGTTGTGCTGTTGCTCTGCTTCTTTCTGTCATTTACCATCAGACCATTTCAAAAAAATATGATGCGTGAAATGAGCGCTAGACCGTAAACTACATATGGTTATGCGAAAACTAAGTAACTGGGAGTAATAGAAGACTGACGAAACCAAAGATAAATTTGCGAAAGTATCTTCACAGCCATTTGCAAAATTTTCAATCATTCTCAAGACTTCGCTCAAACAAAGTAAATGAGTTTTTCCGATTGATGGAGTAAACTTCATTAACTCAGCCCTTTATTTTCTATGGAAAGGCGTTTTTGAGAAGTAATCATCAACCGTTGTTATAAAAACATAGCACGCGTCTCATTTTCATCAACTCAATCATGGATTCTCATCAACAAAATGAGAAGGAGGAAATGAACGGCTTTTGGTGGAAGACTTTCTTCCCTCTCTTTTTCGCTGTCTCATTTGGTCAGGCACAGAAAAATGCGACTCATTTCCATTTCTGGTCATTTTAGAGAACGAGCGAGATTTTGACTTTGATTTTAGGACACAAATATCAAACAACGTTGATATAGTATATGATCACAGTGTCTAAAAATTCAAGTACAAACTATTCTGTACATAATACTGAATCACAGTTTTATAGAGGGAAAAAATTCAGGCACAAAGAAAAATGCTTGTGCATCCAGAGGAGCGATAAGGGTGGAGAAGGAAGTTAAAGCACCAGGAAGCAGATGTGAGAATTGGTTAAAAGAAATAATTAGGGATTAACTAAGGGCTACCGTAACAGGGTTACGGAATTTCTCAAGTTAATGAGGTCTATCGCTTCGTAAACCTGGTAAAGTCGGATACTTTCAGCGCTGCACCTTTCACTGCTACAATGGATCGCCAGCAGAGTTGAAATTCTACTTTAAATCACTACTCTACGAATAAAGTACAAACGCATTGGCGTGCAGCAAAATAGGGTTTTGGCTCGTCCAAAGGTATTGCAAGGAATAAGACAGTAGAAAGCTGATAAAAATCATTAACAATGTCCTGAACACTTGATAGGATTGAGAAAAAAAAGGAAAAGTTCCTTTAAACAATAGACCAAATTCTAAACTTGCAGATATAGAAGCAGAGAAGACGTCAACAGCTGGAAGAATGTGAGGATGAAAGATAAATACGTTTTGATCAAAGCACTGGGTCAACCCTTGTTTTGTAAATCTTCAGAAAAAATTTAAAGATTTGCAATGATTTATGTACTTAAAATTCACTTAAGCACAACAAATGCCTGTTTTCACAGAAAAGAAAGTCAGAAAATATTTCGAGGCTTATCAACATTTCCGAGAGTGCCAGTGGCAATTACCGCCACCAACTTCAGAGGTCTGCATGATTAGCGCAACAGCATGTTTCAAGTAACTTGTTTTAGGTAGCTTTATTAGCTTTTTTTTATTTGTGCAGAAGGTAACAATGGGTTTGCATAGATGCATCCGTTCACCTTCCATCTTTCAACTGTATGCGTCGAAAGACCTTTACTTGTGCACCAAAAAGCACATGAGAAACCTCGCAAAAAGGCCTCCTCGTTCAGAAACTGGTGTACCCATAGTATTCGTACATTATACTTTGTTATACCTGTTTAGCATGAACTCATTTATGCCTGTTTTTGGCTCCAGAATGGTTCAAAAGTCACAGATAACTCCGCCTTAACTGGTTTGCACTCAATATGCCCGATTATAAAGTTGAATAGTGGAGGGACTGTATTGGGAACATACTGCGATGATATATATAGAGGAGAAACGATATGGAGTCGATAATGAAAGAATGTAAATGGCTGGCAAAGCGCATCCGGAGAAAGCAATGCTCGCTTATAGACAGGTGCACAGAAGACAAAGGGTGAGGGAAAGTATACAAAGAAAATATGACAATCAGAGATGTTTCACTGATTTATGAAGGTGGATACAACTGCAAATTTTAGACATTAGGTTTCACTGTGAGCTAAACTCGTAGTAGGTATGAGGCATTTGAAAAATCGTGACGATGGCGCGACCGCACGCGACACGCACGCCACTTCCAGAAATCGCCTTCTCCTTGGTTTTCGTCTCTAGTCGAATGATTTTTTTGCTTACGTATGATAACATTTAGACACTGAAAGTGGTTGAGCTGAACATTGAGGTAATCCCTTGTTGTATGAGCGTTTTAGGCTCATGTGGGCGCAAAGTCCGCAGTAGAATCCGTCGTCACGATTCTATAAATGAAGTATACACTTAGAATGATGGCTTATGTCAAGTACCTTCAACATTTTTCATGCAGTTTTGGTGCCACTTTGTACTAGAATGGCCAGTAAGTCTTAAACTAAAAAGGATGAAAAAAATTCGTTCTCAAATCCTAGAGCACTTCTCGATTATACAGGGTGTTCCAAAAAATGTGCAGTGTTTGATCGTTGATGGCTCTCTCGCTTCAAAGTTTTTTGCCGTTTTCTAGGTACCTTCTGTAGATCTGGCTCCAACTTAGATTCACAGTATGGAGCGAATCTCCGATTTCTCTTCATTACCGTAGGATTACGGTAGGAACTTTCAAAAGGGTTCAAGCTATCGAATGTCGCATTTCGCCACGGATAGAAAATCGAACAAGCCAAAAACTTTTATATAGGCTGATAAATGTCATTTATTTCAAATTCAAAAATTTGCTCATCACAGTCACGCTTCTTCCATAAGTCGTCGCTAGTAGACCGTAACAACTGATCTTTCGATGTTATCAAAAACTCGAGTATTATTGAACAAGCTCAGAAAGCATGTAAATTTGTGTGTGAAATTTGTGTAGAGCCATTCGCGAAAACTTTGCCACACAATTTTCAGATTTTTTCAAATCTTCCATCGAAGGCTTGATCCACGATGGCGCTGTGTGCTGGGAGTTCTTACCGTAATGGGAGATCTGCTCCATACTGTAAATCTAAGTCAAAGCCAGCTCTACAAAATGGTACCTGTCGGCAGAAGGCGCTGAAGGCAAAAAGTTTTTAGAAATCAAACAATGTACACATTTTTTGCGACACCTGTACATACTTCAGTAACGAAATAAGTGAAAATAAACTCAAATTCACAATTATTCATATAGTCAATCGGTGCAATTGTCTGCTGCTGAGCTAGTAAGACGTAAGACCATAACAAAACATTGGACCTTTTAGCATTTTCAATATCAAAATAGATTTAGCCAACCATTTTTCTTACCAGCTTTTATAGACGCGATGCCAAAACTGATCTCCGCTTTATGCACTTGTAGAAGCATATAAGTTGCTCTCTTTGATATTTACTGATAGGCGATGGAATCAGAGCTGATTAGCATTTTCCAGAAACATTATGTTTTGTTTGCTTCGACAGAACCACATTTATGCCAGAACTTCGCCCCAATTCGATTGTCACATATCTTCAAAATTCAATGGAAAGAAAGTAAATTGGTTGTATTTCACTGATTGTTGAACAGTTGTGATTTATGTTCTGATATGGTAGAAGAAGACTACAGCATATTAAGAAGGTGATTGGGAAAAAGAGTTACATTTAGACATTTACAATGGACATTCAGCGGCTGCACTGTAGCCAGACAGGTGGTTACAAAGATACAAATGATCTTTTCGTAAAATTAATTGAAAAAAAGGAAAGCATTTGGCTAGAACAAGTTCAAAAACCGGATGACTTTCGATCACGTTCGTTGAATAATGAAAAAACTAGTTTGGGAAGAAGTAAAATGTACTGAGATAGAAAATTTCAGTAAATGCCGTCAATCGAAACCTAGAAGCCGACACATTTACACAATGAAAACATCACTTTGCGTTGACTATTGATTGAGAAAGCGCCAGAAAGAAAAAAAAAGAAAAGAGCGAGAATAGCAAGGAGAAGCGAAGATCGGAAGGTGATGCAAAAATGACAATAAAGTTAACAGAACCATCCACAGGCTATATTCTCAGTATCTGATGGGGAGGGGATCTTATTCAAAAAAAAATCATTGAGATATAAATCTTGGAGAATAAACTGACAAAACGACAGGGGAAAAAGAATCTGCTGAAAATTACGGCTATCAGTAGCAACCCAATATTGGTTTTTCCAAAAAATAACTGAAGAAAACAACTCTGGCACTCATCTAATGAAGATTATCAAGCTTTCACAGATGGGTGCCGCAAGTGACAAAACCAGCTGTCAATTGTCGTGTTCGGCGCGCTAGTGAGATTATCTGACCCAGCGCAAATTCTGCAACGGGCGGTCTATTTGGGAGGTTTACTTATTTTTCCTCATTTGTGCTTTTTCTTCTCTTTCCAAGCTTACAGGTTAAGCAGTTCGCTCACATTTAATCAGTATTTCCCATCCTTTATATCACGAAATGCTCTTTCTCTTAATAAATGGTGTTACCCAAATTTTTATTCACTGTGTCCGAATCCTCGGCTTGTGTTAAGTAATGTTGTTAGATTTGAGTTTTAGGCATGGCGTCTAGTGGAGTGAAAAGAATCACGCACACTGCCGTCAATTGGGCTAAATTAGGTAATTAGTTTCTATCGATTTTATTTGCCTCTCTTTTTCTTTTTGATTCAACATCAACATTCGTATGAGCGGATAACGTGTATATTTAGAGTTACCATTTCCGCTGCATTAATTGGCATATAGTGTAAGCGGCGGTTTATCACTAATCATGGTCTTTCTTATGATCCATTATGTTGAAAAGAAATTCTTTTGAGAAGAAAATGATTTTGTTAGGCTATTGTGAAATGGTGAGTACGAAGAATAAATGGGTTAGCATCTGTTAGAGAAGTTGTGTTCCAAATATAGCCCTTCATCAATAGATTTACGAACCTAGAGAGTTTGACAAAGGTCGATTTTTTGCTTATTATAAAGGTCCAGCAAACCTTTCATTTGCTCTTAAAAATATCTACATGCAGTTGTACGTACAATCGCCCATTGTTTTCTGCACCATATCTAAAACCAAGAGACCGAAAATTGCAGAGCCGCTAACTCCATTGCTTTTGGGTATAGAAACCTTTACAACTTCGCATAAGATCATTGACCTGTGCGTACTTTAGTCTGCGAATATGGTTTCAGCTTGGAAAATCCGAAGGGCGTTATTAATCCTTCACTAAAGCATCTTTTTGTGCTGCAGTTGTAGACGAAATCGCTAAATAACGAAATACCGTTAGTTCGGAAATCACAGCTATGCGATCTTATCAATGACACAATCGTTGCGCAAATGGCTCCATACATTGTTGGAAAGATTGTTCTCGATTTTACATAGAACCATATATTTTAGAGCAGAAGCTCATACCCAAGCATGCCTCAGAACTGTCGCACTTGAAGGGAACGAGTCACACATACTCAGCAGCTGTAGACCAGCTTCCATCTGATATTCCGAAGGTTTGCAATCTATCTCATGGTTCCACTGGTTTTTTGAGTTTTGTTTTGATGTATCAATTTACGCAATTTTATATCTCGGTGAATCTTACAGATCAAGGTTAGTTACCCTACAAAAGATATAGGTTGAGTTTCGTTGTGGGATTGTGATATCGTTATTGTGAATCGTGGAGTGATGGTTAAAGATGTTAGTGGTAGAAGTTTCATCCAGAATTTTAGGTTGATTTCAACGCTCTGAAGAAGCAACTCCCAGCTCATGCAGCAGTTTTGGATTCGCTGCAGAAACAGCTAGACGCTATTATGATTCCATACGGAGAAATTCCAAAAGCATACCTCCAGGTATATCGTTTCTGTGGCGTCCATAAATCTCTCTCCCTAACATCTCGGAATAGCTTAGGTTTTCTAGGAAATTGACCACTGGACTGAGTACAACAACGAACGAGTGAAACTCCATGAGATGAAGGTCGCTGATGGTCTAGAGCAGGCAAAGAAGGTCAGATTCTTCTGATTTTGCATGAAACTGATGAAGATATAATCATATTTAGGTCGAAGACAAATGGGCTAAAGCTCCTCCAGTAGAACACTTTGACCGTCAGCACTTCGCCGAATACTTCCCACAAGAATTCTATGATCTTCGCTATCAGAATAGGTTTGTTTTTCACTTCACTTGGTTTCAGTCTTCGTTGAACCCGTTCATGGTTGATTTTCATCATGTTCTTGTAATATTACCTGATTTTGCACGCATGCCACTTTTTTATAACATATTCCAATTTAGGGAGTTTTTTTGCTTTGGCTGCAAGTGTAACATTTTTTGATTCACTTTTTGCAAAACTGTCTCTGAGATGTTTTTTTCAATTGAATCTTGGCATGCCACTAGACTGTACTAGGTTTCGCATTATCTCTGCTATATGGATGTGTGCATTGCATGTAACCTTTATAAGCCAATCATTACATTATTCCTTGTTCTTCAAGCGGATTTACTCGAAAAGAGAGAGTAGCCAAATTTAGAGACAGATTGCAAAAGTGCATGCTTGAGCCGATCAAATTATCTTCAAAGTCATACTGCAAATTTTTAAGGCATTGCTTGATACACATCGAAGCGCTTGTCTCGTCTCTTCCGCTAGAAAATCTTTGCTGAAGGCTACCATTTTTAGGATACCCGATCCCTGCAATCTAGGACTTAATGAGACGCCAGAAATTGAGGCACGATTCAAGGACTACAAGGTATGTGAATAATTTTATGATGTTACTGAAACTGACCCCTCCATCGTCAAATTTTAGGTTCTTCGACGCGCTGACAAGGTTGAAGACCATTAGTCCACGAGAGGAAAGTGTTAGAGTACTTACGTTTGTTTTAGTAAGTTAGTATTGTGAATGTCAATGATATCGATAAAGTCTTTGATGGAATCTGAAGCATTTTTTCCTTTTTGTTGAAGTTCATTATACTTAAAACAACAGCTGGGTTCGATCGTTTTTGCGTGCGTTGGTCACGATTGTAATCGAGGCGATAGATGATGACCGCTACACTGTACTTGACGTGGAATTTTTAGCATCATAGTCAGTTTGGTCTTTGCTGTGTTCTTTGCTCACTGTAGCTAGAACACAATATACACAACATTGATTGAATGTGTCACACTGGGATGAATGTAGTTGTTTACCGAGTGAGGCGATAAGAAGTTGACTGCTTTGCGGTGTAGCTGACTTTTATGAGCCTTTGGGCTTTGAATGGTTGTTGTTTTCTTCATAAGGGATCGTTCATACCGCGCACAAAGGCGGACGAAGCCGGACAAAGGCGGACGAAGGCGGACGAAGCCGGACAAAGCCGGACAAAGGCGGACGAAGGCGCGGTCTCGTCTTGTCTCGTTTCTCTCGACAGCACACACACACTCACACGCGCCTTCGTCCGGCTTTGTCCGGCTTCGTCCGCCTTTGTCCGGCTTCGTCCGGCTTTCCGCCTTCGTCCGCCTTTGTGCGCGGTATGAACGATCCCTAAACAAGCCTCTTCGGTTCCTTTCCTTTGCACATTACTTTGGCTGGGAGATCTGTTCATGGGGCTTTCTAGAAATCGGCAGCGCTGAATTTTTACACAATGAAAATTTAACATAGTCTCCTCCTCGTTCCACGTAAGGTAATGTATGCTTGTTAATAACAAGAAATGGTCATGCCTTCGCTTTTTTCTCGGCCGCGTGCTTGTTCAGATTGATCACATGCGCTGGAAAGTTTTTTTTGAGAATCCTTTTCGATCATAAAAGTATTGTTTCATTGCAGTCGTAGTCTTTCCTTCAATATTTCCACTCACAGAATGGTTAGTAATGCATGGTGAAAAGTTCACCTTACTTCATGAGCGTTGTCTCCTTAGCTTACGGCATTTCCTTAGCTTCTGCATTTAGGTTAATGAGCATTACGGAAAGTTGTTGTTTACACATTTCGTTTAGATTTTACAAAATTTCTCCTCGAAAATATTTTTGGTCAAGGAATTGTAGCTTTTGAATATAGGGATCGTCTTCAATTTTTAAAGTTAGCAACTCCAGTTTCAGCTCGTTGAAGAGTTCATAACCGTTTCCTACATATTTACTTTCAAATGATATTCTCGCTTCCTGTGAAAGGCAGTATGGAATTATTTTTTCACCTATTTTCTTGAATTGTTTATGCAATTGAAAGTCTCCCGCATGCCGGGTGCGATACAGACTGCGATAAAATCACCACGCGCACTAGCACGTGCTAGTGGTGTCGCAGTAACTTTTGTTTCTTATTTGTGAGTGCAGAAAGACAGCAAGATCAGACAATTCTACAAAAAATGAATCGAAGTCTGTTTGAGTAGCAGAAACGAGGTGAAACGGTCAAAGATTAGCGTACTACTGTATTTATTCACCGGCTTGCTTGTGATATCCCGTGCTGCTTGCGCATGTCACAAACACTCAAATCAGATGGTAATCAATGCTTCCTGCGCTACAGTAAACAACATTAGATTAGAAACAGTGTTTCTCAGTTGTGCTGTTTAGTACTCGATACCTTTTGTGATTTGCATTAGACAATAGCTATAAACTGTCATATTAATTATTTCCTTTTTTTCGTGAAAGATTAACAACCATTGAGTGCGAAAACTTGGGGGAATGGTCAAAGACCGCATTATTTCGCCACTGGGACTTTTCGTAATAAATGCTGGAGCCGGAAATGTCCTTGCTTGCAGCTCCTGCAGAAGGAGCACTATTCGTGCACGTCCTGTCATATTTAAAGTTCCGTCCTCTGCATTGTTTTTTTTTGTGCTGTTCAAAGATCTTCACACTCTCCCATTACACTGTGTTCGCCGCCCACAGTGTCCGCTATCACTGACTCGCTAGTGTATTACCAGTATCTTACTACTGTCCTAGATTAATGGGAGCTTCTGAAGAAGAGCTCCGCCGACGTCATCCTTCAGGGAATTCGAAGGCGAGTAGCAATGAAAGCTTCTCATCAACGGGATCGCACAGAAAGTTGTCGTTTGCGCAGATAAGAGAAAATGACGCAAACAAAGGGTGAGTTCTGGTCCAGCTTTCCCTTGAAAGGATTTTCTTAGATTTTTTTTTGAAATGACTAATTGAAGGAGGATGTTTGTGAACAACCAACAATTCCGCTGTTTTTCTGTTTCGAGTGTTATTTTATGAAAACTAACTGTTGGGCCATCTTGGCTGTTTACACTGAGCTGTAAAAATCGTCATCCACGAAGGGGGAATGGGTGGAGGGAGGGAGTTATATCGGAATGGGAAGATCGACAGAACACAAGATCATTTTCATTGTTGGGATATTTACGTATGGGAGACGTATTGTAGCACATCTTACATTATTTATGCCAAGTTATTTTTCGGTTTTTTTGCATACAGATTTGCGTTTTTTTTTTGTAAAGTGAATGAATTTTATTTATATATGCAAAAATTCCGTAAGTTATATAGTTTTATGTCGTGAATGTAACACCATTTGTTTAGACCATGTGAAAAGATTGTTCATCGACCACAGGACTCGCTGTTTAGCACTAGCTCAGGCTGGACAAATTATAGAGGTTTCTTCAATCTAGCCATGTTGCTTCTTGTACGTTTTACAGTTACAGGTTATATGAGCACTTGCGCTTATCATCATTTTTAGGTAGTTTCTAATGGACGTGTAGCTCTTGAAAACCTCATTAAGTATGGTATCCTGATCTCTCCACTTAAATGGCTGTCTTATTTGACAGTGGAGGCATCGTTCCAAAGCTCTCCAAATGTGCTAATGGTGCTGCTTTCCAACGTGACCATTCTTACCGTATTCTTCACCGAGAAGCTGCTTGGTAGGTCTCTTTATGCAGTTTTGCCCCTATGCTGAGTATGCTTAGGGATCGTTCATACCGCGCACAAAGGCGGACGAAGCCGCACAAAGGCGGACGAAGGCGGACGAAGCCGCACGAAGGCGGACGAAGGCGGACGAAGCCGCACAAAGGCGAACGAAGGCGCACGAAAGCGCGTCTTGTCTCGTCTCGTTTCTCTCGACACACACACACACTCACACACACACGCCTCGTCTCATTTCTCTCGACACATACACACTCACACATGCCTTCGTGGCTTCGTGCGCCTTCGTCCGCCTTTGTCCGGCTTCGTCCGCCTTCGTCCGCCTTTGTCCGGCTTTGTCCGCCTTCGTCCGCCTTTGTGCGCGGTATGAACGATCCCTTATCCGCATGAACGCTCGATTTTTGATTCTTTATCACATTCTCTAAAAATCGCGCCGCGGTTATCCGCTTTTGATAACGGATCGGAGAAACTCTAAATGGAAGGATGCCTTGAGACTTGAGTGTAGAAGCACTAGCAACATGACTTTCAAAAATGCAGTTGGACTGATTTACAGAAGCCTCAGTATCATAGCCAAATCCGCACAAAGCAAGTAGCTTTCATCTTACGGGTGTGAAGCAATGGCCCATGGGACCGGAAATTCCACTTAAAGCCGATTTGAAGACCACTTATTTTTTGACTCTTGCGTTTTAACCCCAATTAATAACGGAAAACATATTTAAAGCTGCCCGTTTTCTTTGAGTCACCAACATGGAAAGTGTCTAGAATTTGATATTTGAAATCTTGTGTAAGTTCCCCATGAACTCTACATTTATGGGGAGGCTATCGTTCTTCACGGAATCAAAGCAAACCCGCAAAACTTTGGACTCCATATATTCTTTTCAGAAAAAGGATATCTGAACAATTACTTTGCTGGCGTCTTTTATCCCATAGTCATTTATGTGCATTTGGCTTGTCCTGCGGCTTATACTCTATTCGCGAAGGTTAGCGCAACTTTTGTTTCATGTGAATGCAAGGGTTCTGGTTGGAATGAGTTTTTTTCTCAAAAACGAACGCAGTTCTTTTTAGGATGGAAACCCACTGAGTGCTGTACTCGCACTTTCTGTTATTGTGATTGAATCGCTCAAAATTGTCTCATATGTGCATGTGAATTATTGGTGCAGATGTGCGCGAGAGGAAAAATCAGCTGCCAAGAAGACTGATGTGGCAACCGCGGAGGTAGGTCTATTTGATAAATCTACGAATTAGAACTACTCTCCGCACAAGTTGTTATTTTAGTTGGGTGGACCTGAAATGGCATCACTCTATCCAAGTACATTGACACTAAGCAATCTCTACTACTTCATGTGTGCGCCCACACTTTGTTATGAGCTCAAGTTTCCCAAATCTCGTCGACGTCGAAAGTCTTTTCTCATCAAGAGATTTGTTGAGGTAATTTATTCTTTTGGACGCCATGTAAAATTTCATGAAATATAATTTTAGTTTGTTTTTCTGAGTTTTCTGATTGCTTCTTTGATACAACAATGGATGGTGCCCACCGTACATAACACTATCAAACCTCTGAGTGAAATGGAGTATAGCCGGTCAGTTCAGTTGTTGTAACTAAAACTGTTAAATTATGGTTGATGGTTGAAATGCATATGATTACATGCTACAAGGAACCTTTGACTTTGGGTAAATAATTCTAGAAATTGGCGCATTTCTTAGTTTTCTTGCAGATGCCTTGAGCGATTGCTGAAACTTGCCATACCCAATATGATCATTTGGCTGATTGGTTTCTACACCATTTTCCATTCCCTGCTCAACTTTGTTGCCGAAGTGCTGAAATTTGCTGACAGAGAATTCTATCGGTGATTTGCACCCGGTATGTTCAACTAATTCGGCTTTAACTTTGTTTTTGCAGTGATTTTTGGAACTCCGAAACCATTCAGTATTTCTGGCGCACGTGGAACATACCAGTGCATCGATGGGCAGCTCGTCATGTATACATGCCAATGATGCGCAATAATTATCAGTGAGTTCTCAGCAAATACTGTCAATTTTTTCTTCATTGTTTTCTTGTATTATCTACCTGTTTTAGCAAGTTCAGCGCCACTGTTGCTGTGTTCTTCATCTCGGCATTTTTCCATGAGTATCTTGTAAGTTTTGAGTATGCATTTATTATGCGACATTTCACCTTATAAACTCGATTTTTAGGTATCTGTGCCGATGCACATGTTCCGCCTGTGGGCGTACTATGGTATGATGTCTCAAATACCTCTTTCGCTGATTACGGATCATGTGATCAAAGGAGGACGTGCAGGTGGGTTTCATTTGAGATGTGCTAATTAGTTGGTCTGCCTTTTTAATATCTTACGAGAATTCACATCAACGATTCACAGGAAACATCATCGTCTGGCTTTCCTTGATCCTTGGCCAGCCACTCGCGATTCTAATGTACATGCACGATTGGTATGTTATGCATCAGATAAGCGCAGAGAAGTATCACCCCAAAGAATAGGTTCTACCCGAATCGGTTACTTCTGCGTGAACTTTGTTTTTGTGTGTATAGAATTCTTTTGTCTTTAATCAGATGTTTGCTAGAGTTTTATTTTCTTTACAATAGAGTTATCTCTTATTTACCCTCATTTTTCTGCCTTACCTCATTTGAGATCGCGGCTATGCCATATACCTGGTTTTACAATTGTGGCGCTCAAACATATTCTATAGCACTAGTCTCATCTTCTCTGTTTGTTTTGTTTGTTCTTATTTTTTGGTAGATGGATTTCAATTCGTTTTGTGCGATCTTGCGCAGCGTTATCGCATTTTTTTTTATTCTACCAGCGTCCACTTTTTCAATCAGGTAATAATGTGCCCATGCTTTTACCTGCTCATCTCTATGGAGCTGTATTACTCTCAGATCCTAGGGCTACTTTTAAGGTGCTTTTAATTTGTTTCTATTGAAAATTTATAGATTGTGTTTTCAATAAATGTTTTTACCCTTCTGTTCAGTTCTCGTGATATCTAACCGTTGCAACGGATACTCGTATCACTCTAACTAAGCTCGTAGTGAAACGCAAGTGGTCAATGTAGTTTGGACATGGTGGAATATTTTTAGCTAATGAATTATAGAGTTTGACACTCTTGATAATTACTGCATAGTAGTCTTGAATAATTGACTTTCGCAACAGTGCATTTCGTCGTCTAGTGATAAGACTGTTTCAGAATGTCTTAACTCGGTTTTCTCTCCATACCTTAGTCTTACTGGTTCGGTTTTCTTTCAACTCATGAGAGGCGAGTTCACTTGCTTTTAATGAATCGAAAAGTCGAGATCAAATTTCTTCCAAATGGAATCGTTAAGGAGCATTTCTTGGGAATCTGATGAAAAAAGTGGGAATTTAAAGCTGTACTTGTGAGCTTGCGTTGTTGGTTAAAGCGAACTTTTCTTGAATATTTTGTATTTACACACAAGTCTACAGGATCCTCTGAAAATTATGAAAGTACATAAACTGGGATAATTATATTGGAAAAATTGGAACGTATTTTACGCAATTGAAATTCCGAATTTAGGACTTTCAAGATGATTTCTATGTATAAAACGTCGTTTGAGGATCGAACTTACTTTTTATATTGGCTACCCGATCCAAAAATCGTAGGTAACGTCTTGGGAATTTTTCTGCTTCAAGATACTATCTTAGCATCTTCCAGGCGTATGCAATGGCGTCAATGAGCTGTATGAGCTGGCCATCAGCGAGAAAGATCGAGCAGACTTTGTTAACGTTAGCGAAACAATATTGCCAACTATATGGAGGTATTGCTGTTTTGAAACACTAATTTTAGAAAAGTACAGAATCCAAGTTCAGAGAGAACATGAGTAATAAGGCCTTCACTGTCTCCGCTATCTCGAAGTCGCAGTGTACCGTTATGTTTGGCACTAAGAATACAATCAAACTCAAGGCAAATAAAGGTAATTCCAGCAGTTCCAAATGTAGGTGTGAGTGCTTTAGTCATTGTTTCGTTTCAGATTCTCATCGCATGACTGAGATAGTGGAGGAAATGCTGAAATGTATAGAGGTACGGTTTTGCTACTTGTCATTTGCTTGCCTCCATGCTTCAGATTCACTTCGTTTTATGAATCCCTTCAGCCACATGCCTTTCGTCAAATACTTTCCAAAAAATTTTGTTCTCGTTTCTCGTTTTTCGGGGGGAGGGAGGGGGGGGGGGGGATTTTGAACGCTCAGACCATCCTTCCTTGAACCAAAAATTGTAGTGATGAATTTTGATTAGCATGCCTGTTTCAGTCACTGAATTCTAGTCTGGAGAAGCTACAGAGGAAAGGAAGCGTGAAGGTAATTACACCAATAAAAATATCATTGGAATTCAAATCCGATTTTCAGAAAATCAATGATGTTATACCAGTAAAGAGGAGAAAGCAGCCAGTTAGAAAAATCAAATGGGATGAGGATTAACAGTCTAGCTCAAATTTTGAGTTCATTCCGTTTTATATGTATCTACTACCTGCTTTATGTACGTAATACAGCCGTGCTTACCATTTTATGTTGGTTTTATTCCCTGAGTGGTTTTATTTCATCTGCCGATTTGTACATAGGCCTGTGCTTATATCAGTTTTTCCCATGCGAATTGGAATCATAATAATTCAATGCAGCATCATGCTAGTCTTGCTAGTGACCATGTGATAGATAGCTACTTTGGTTTTTCCCAATTTCTAGTTAACACATAAAACGCAAAACGAATAAAGGTAAATCCACCCATGTCATTGTTCCTAGTTTTCAGGCGTCAAATATTTCTTTTTTCTCACTTCAGCTAAATGCTTATTGGTCCGTTTGATCTGTTAGTATCACACCTTATTCCATGTGCACTGTTTTTTGAGTTGCGTCTTTGACTTATAAAAGTGGGTTTCTGTGTTTCTGCGTTATTACTTCTCTTGTGAAGAACAGATCATTTCTGGATTCAAAGTTATGCACATATACGAGGTGCATGAAATGCCCTTCGTAAAAGTACCACCCCAAACTTTGTCAGTTTCCAAAGTTTTTAAACAAGAAACTAAGCCAAAAACCAAGTTCTAGAAAATTAAAAGCAGTTTTGAAAAAGGATAACATGCGGAGCGTAAATTTGGGGCGTTTATAATCATACGCACCTCGGTTGATGTTCATTAGCTGCCTAATCCAGCGGAAAAAGCCTCAGGGTTTATACAAAAGGACAGACAGAAATCTTTCCTCGTGCTGGACTACGTTCAAATCGAAATGGTAGAAAGTTAAAAGGTAAGCTTTGGGTGTCAAGCATTACCTGAGTAGTTCTCAGGAACCGCTGCAAGAATCGACACGGTTGGAAAAGAATGTTCAAAAAGCGGAGTAAGCGCCGAATTGATGAAAAGGCTTCCAATACTATCGGGAGCGTCAACGACATTAAGAAGAACTGCATTTAAGCATCAAAATCGCTTTTTTGGATATCTTTAGCTCAATGGCAAAGTCGTGCATGCGAAAATGAAGGGTACGTTTTCCTTGTAATAAAGAAGCCAAAGAAGTGCTCGTGAAAACATGGCGCTTGATCGGAGAGGTTCAAACAATGGAAATTCTATCTTAGACTTTGATTTCTCATGTCTATTCCACAGGTGCTTTTGTGGACAAGTAGAAGTTCAACTTGGACGGTCCTGATGGCTTCAGTTTAGTCGAGGGACTCGCGCAAAAAGCCGCTTTTCTTCTCAAGACGTAGCTTTGATGAAGGAAGCGTTATGGTGGGGATGAGGGTGTCCTCTGTTAGTTCTCTAGAACCTTAGTTGATTTAATCGAAGTGAAAACTTCGGAATGCACTAGACATGCTGAATTTGAGTCTGATCCCATATCTGAAACACTTTCATCGTCCGCCTTGTATTTTCAGACAAGGTTATCCCACCGTTCATGTCAGGACGAAAATACAATTATAAAACAATTCTTTGTTATTTTTTTCGGAAATCTAGGAGGTTTGCTGGGCAAAAAATCGCCCTTCTGTATGGCTAGCTTGCTTAAAGGCAGTGGATCGGCAAAACCCAACAACTCAGAATTTTAACGCGGTAGGTTCCTTATCGCTCAAGTATGAAAACAGTGCAACCCAGGTTGCACAGCATGCTTTCCCTGCCGAGAATATCGCTCTCAAACTTACACGCGCAGGCCATTCTTACACGCATCCGGACGAGTTGGCAATTTCCTTTTCACCATTGGAGGCTGCCCGCTGCAATGCTATAACCATTGAGTCGTGCAACGATTCGGCGCCATCAGCCTTGCTCCACTCGTCCACTTCCGGGAAGGGCATTAAAAAACGCTTATTTTCGACGTTTTCAAGCTTTCAAAAGTGGATTTTCGGGACCAGCGTATTGAAAACCCCAGGTAAGCGCAAATTTGACTTGGTTGAGATTTGCCGAGCCACTGCCTTTAACGGACCAGAACATTAGGAAACATCTATGAGGAACCATAGTTAGGCGCTTTACCACTATACCGCCAATTTCGGAACCAAAAATGAGTTTGAATAAGCAATTTTTTGAGAAATTGGCAGCAAAGTTCGTTTGGAGACATCCACAAACCGAAAGTATGCCAAACAGGACTTCCAGGTTATCAATCGTTTTGCTAGTCTATTCTTGCCGTTACTTTCTGTTCCGTCATGATTTATGGAAGACTAGCTGGCATATTCTGCTCCACGCGGCCCTGTCGAAATACTTTGATAAAGGTCACTATCCTTATTTACAACTTTCCATGTGTACACTTCTATATGTCAGTCTTATACCCTTTTGTTCTTGTAATCAGCATGCCAAATTACCCTTGTGCTAGCCCCCAGTGCGAAAAAAAAACGATGAATTTGATGAAAGTAAAAGGTAATTCAGAGACTAATATTGTATTCGTAATATCAGCACGCTGCTCACCTGACCCCCTTTACCGACTCCCAGTCCCGTAGCTGGGACCGTACAAAAAAGATGAAATCGATAAGAGGTAGATGTTCCTAGAAACTAAGATTATATTCGTAATCAGCATGCTCGATTACCCCCCCCCCCCCCCTGTGCCAACCCCCAGCCTCGCAGGTCAAACTTTACATGTACTTTACATGTTTACTTATCATTTGTTATGGTTTTGTCGTTGAGCTGATGAATAAATCTCTGTCGATTCAGTCTTTGTTGTTTACATAGTATACTGTATGCCGGAAATTTGAACAATATCAAGTGCGCTCTACGGCTAATTCCATGCCCCATGGTCGGTTCGGGACTCCTGCGTTTCACTGGCGTTTCACCTGCGTTCGACCCGAACATGTGCTGCAGAACAGGCAAATCCCGAACCAAACGCAGGTGAAACCTGTTCGACCGGCGTTTCTCCGGCAGTCTTGTCCCGAACCAATAGCCGGATTGTCCCGAAACAAACGGAGGTGTACCGCATGTTTTCAATGAGTCGAACTCTCTTTCACCGGCGGTCGTCAACGCGAATGTCTGAGCAAGGAACGATAACATCGATATCGATCGACAACAAAAATAGCCTGCGACACTCGCCCCGCCCCGGAGTGTATGTTGCCATTTTAGTTCGAATCCGCTGAAGGGAATTTTTATTGTAGAACATACGTACACACAGACAGACAAACACACATTTAGCTTCATATATAAGATGGAGAGCATTGCGCGAGGTTTTCGTATAAATATGAACAGCCACAATTCACGCCCCCAAGCATTCACGTTTTTCTTTCCTGGAACTCATCACATTTAGGTCTGTGGTGGGAGTACCATTTTTAGACTTGCTCTTTCACGTGACACTAATGGTTTTGTATTTCTTTAGAAGGTCCAAGCTTTGGTAAATTTAGGGTATTCGTATAATCACGAATCGCAATTTGTATCCTATGTTTCTTGGTATCAATCTAATCTTGTGTTCAGTGAATTTTGTTTGAAGTTACATCTTTTTCCTGCGCGTACAAGCAGTGGGCATTGGCAGCACGAGCAGAACAGGTTACCAGCAAAAATGTGCAGTTGAGTTTGAGCTTTTTTCTGCTCAAGCTTGGTGAAAGTGCCTCGACATCAAACACTACACAGGCCCTGTAAAACATAATGCTTTCGAATGTATAGTCGAGCGGTTCGCAGGGCACTAGGGCGATCCCATTCGCTTATGATTGCGGTGAAAACTCATATCGTTTCCAGCATTGCGCATTATGATTTGATTTCTAAAGTAAAAATATTTTTTCAAGTGGCGCGAGCTCACTATCGCCTGCAGATGGCCTATATCGCGTCGGGGCCTCACTTCTCCACGCGTTGGTCTTCAAAGCTAGGCGCGGCTGATCGGATTTTCCAAGGCCTATACTAAGTTGTTTCTGAAGTTCGTTTTTCAAACGCCGCACAGTGATGGCCTAGATGCAAAAACCTTCATTCAATCCGGCTGTTTTATTTTACCGAACTGCACTTTTAGATCATAATCTTCCTAATGCTTCTGGTAATTATCACGACTTTACACCAATCATTTCTATCTTCTTGGCAAATCAAAAGAAATTCCATGGTTTTGAAAAGAAGTAGGTATGATACAAATAGCGCAAATCTGGGGCTATACGGTAGTCTTTTAGATTCACCTGAGCTGCTGTTTGGGGATTCAAATTCTCTTTGGAGTTCGGTAGGTAGAAAACCAGATACGTGGAAGCTTTCAAAGTTTCTGTAAGTCACAGCCTGATTGTTATTGATACACCATCGCGCAAAGTAACTAAATAGCTTTGAAGAATCAGCTTTCTGGAAATGTTTGATCTGCTTTGAAGAACAACTAAAACTTTCATTGCTCTTATGTGAAAACGACCCAAAAACCGTGGTAGTTCCTAAATAAATAATCTACATACTACATGAATTCGATGTATGCAAGCCAAATTAAGTATCAACCAAAGGTTCTCCAAAAGACAGCATGGAATAGTGAAAAATCGTAGCCGTCACAAAAGAGGTAAAAATCTGAATTCAACGATAGCACATAGTTCATTGGTCATGGTCTTCTGTGAATTTTGGTGATTGATCAGAAAAAAACCCCGATAGAATCTTTGGTACTGTCGTCAAACGACTAACACTATACAAGAGATTACTCCACAATCTACAAGTAATTACTGAGCGGAACTCTTGTTTGTGGAGATGTTTATTTTGGAAAAATACTTTGCGCTTAGTCTCAACGTCGCAAAAGATCATTATAAGCGAGATTACTTCGAGGGACACGCCCAAAGCAGCTTCATCACCTTTGTGTTCATCTAAATGTTTTACGATTTCCTCTTTGCATCTCCTAACATCTCAGATTCTCACACAAATTATCAAAGAAGTAGGGGACAAGTATTGCGAGTGAAAAAGCTAACAAGTATCAGAACCACTTATTTGCTTTGATAATATATATTTTTGCTTCTTTTCTGCTTGTCAACACTCTTTATTCTAGTGTTGCAAGGAGCTTGTTATGTAGTTATAGTTGTAGCTGTGTACCTTTTGTTGGTATTTTCATGTATATCTTTGTTTTCTAATGCAAAGCGGTTCAATTACCCAAGCTCTCAGATATTCGCCGGGGGCAGGCGGTCCGCAAACTCGCGCTTTTCTGCAGGCGGTCAGAATTTTGGGGCGTGGCCAAACCTTCAGCGGGCGGCACTTCCT